TAAAACCTCATGGGAAGGGGGGCGTTCCAGTCCGTCCTTCATACCCTACCGAGGTCACCAGTTGTTCCCCATGAGCGGCTCTCCAGCCACAGCCCCAGATGCACAGAAACCAATCTCTTAATTATCTGACTCTCAGTAGAAATACTTGCAGGGTTAATAAATAAAATAGCAGAAATCCAAAACCGCGTGGCCGTGATAGCCATCATTTAATTCTTAGATTCTTAGATAGATAGACATCATTTAATTCTTGAACCCAGCTGTAGAAAGCAAATCATCTCACAATGCTTTTTCAGCATGGCTGATTTGGGGGGGGTAAAGTCTAAATAATAATGGTGCAACTTTTATCAAAACAATGACGCTAGTCAAAGTAGACAGAGTGTTAACTAGAATTCATCTACCCCACAGACATTGGGGGGGGGGTGGGGGTTTATTGGGGTTCTTCGTGGTGAAAAATAAGTATTGGTAAAAGGAAATGTGATTGATATTTGCATGACCGAGACCTAAACCTGAAAGCTTTGTAACTTCTCCCACAGCGATTCAAAAAAAAAAAAAAAGACTGGAACCTAAACTAATCCAAAGTTATGAAGACCTTTGAGGCACAGGACTCATTTGAGGAGACCACCTTAAAGATGCAGAATTCCAGGCCCAGAGCATGGCTGGAGCCCCAGGAGGAGAGGCTCCACTGCTGACAGGACAGCCATGCTAAGAATCACAAAAGGAGTCCACAGCTCCAAGCTCTCCCCCTTGGCAAGCACCCTAGAAACAGATTTGGGGTAGGGGGCATTTTCTCATTCTGGGGAAATGGCCCACATTCACACCTGAGTATTTTAGGGTGCATTTCCCCATTCTAAGGAGACAGCCCCATCTACATGCTGTTTTCCACACTGGAGAAGCCTGTGCTGTGTTCTTTCTCCCTTGAACATAGAGCCCCTCTCATTCTCTCCTTTCACAGTTCTCCAAGAAAATTTCCTCAATAAACTCATTTTACTTCACTCTTTGTCTTTTTCTGAAATTCTTTTATGTGAGATAAGGAGGCCTGGAAAAGCCTGGGTAGAAATAGGGGTTGATTTTCCTGCAAAGAGCAAAGTCATTGCTCAAACCTGTGTTCTGTGGTTCCCTGAGAAATCAGGTGGAACTCAGCACAAGTGGGACCCAGGTGTGGTTTAACATCTGCCTGTGGGCCTGGTCAGAGTACAGTTTGTACTGTTTGGGGGCTCATCACAGGCTTTATCAGTCTTAGATTTCCCACACACTTCCCTGGGTGAGCAAGGTGGGTAGACAGGGGAGCTCAGTAGGTTTCTTTTTACGGCTGTCACCTCTCCCTACCCCCAATTCACATCCCCCCAACCCTAATTCCTAGGATGTGAGTCAGCTCTTCCATAGATCACCTATGTACTTGTTGTGGGCTACAAAGGGCACTCTTGTGATTCTAAGCAGAGGTTCACTTAGGAACCAGGAAATTATTCTTTCACTTCCGATGACTCCATAATCATCTTCCAGTGAAAGAAAAATGTGTTTGGAGATCCCCTCTCTTGGGGAGCCTCAAGTAAGCAATGGTTGCGATAAATGATATAACTTAAAAAAAGAACAACCCCAAAGCAGAATGAAGGGCCTGGTGAATACTACCAGGCAAATCCAAATGTTTTTTTTTTTGGTTGAGTTTCTCTCAAACTAAGTTTTTTGGGGATAAAGGTTGATGGAAAAACAAACAAACAAATTGAACATAGTTTCTAAGTGTTGTAGGGGATTCTAGAATGCCTCAAGAATGGGCATTGCCAACCCCCTGAGATCTAACATTTCAGTTCTGTAACATGTGCTCAATGGCCTGAAAGCTTCGGCTAGTCAGTCAGTGCAACAGCAAAAAAAAAAAAAAAAAGCCTTATCTATGAGGTGTCTTATAAAAAGTAATCAATGATTGCTTCTTTGGAAGAAGAAGGAAGGATTCTTGCAAGCAAGCTGCATGTGATGGACAACACCATCATGCAGGGAGGAGAAAGAGAAATGGAGACAGTATTTCCCAATTTATGTTCTGGACTCAAAATTTAGATTTTCTTAAGTCATGTCTTCCTCGTTCCACTAAGCTAACGAAAGCAACTAAAATAGAATACCTTCAGCGCTGATGATTGAAGAACAATTTAAAGGGTAATTCTGACCGCAAGTATTTTTGTGATCATGAGGCTGTTTCTTGAGACAGAAGTCAGGTCTTTTGTGTATATTTAGTATTAAAAACTGAATACTAAATGGCAAAGAGGACAGAGAAGGCAAAGAAGGACTGGGACTGCAGTCAATGCCCTATGTGGGTGGTCCTCAATGATTCAAGGACAACAGAATAGAAGAATGCAAAATGAAAGCAAAAATATTTACAGTGCAAAAGGTGAGGGGAAGCACATAAGCACGTAAGGAGGCACAAAACGAAGATGTGCCACTTAGGCAATGGGTATTAGTACCCTGGCCTTATGATAGTCAGGGTGCCATGTCCAGGAAGCATACTTTGCAAAGACTGTCTCCCACGAGGTTGGGTATCACAGCAAATGCCAATGCAGTGACTGCCCAGAGTTGTCATCTGCATACGGCAACTTTCCAATAAGCAGAGTGATTCACAGAGGCAACCAACATGGTGTTTCATAATCCCTCAGGCTCCTTTGTAACATGGTTTTTCTAATGGCTTCACCGTAAAAGAAAATACAAGAGAATCTTCTTAATGAGCTGGAGAGACATTTATGTGATTATTTTCACTCTTTCTTAAAACTTCTTAAAAAGTCCTATTTTTTTTCCACTGCAAAACTACAACTTCCCCTGACACCAGCACCCATCCTCTGCCCCCCTTCCCCTACTCCCAAAAGGAAGGACAAAAAAACTAATGAAAAAAAAATAAAAACCATGAGTGAAAACTGTTCCTGAAAACTTTGCAGAACTGTAACAGCTTTCTCTCGGTTAAATTGATTGGTATAGCAACATTATAAAATGACTATTAGGATTCATTGTGCACAACAGAAAGTGCTGAAATGTCAGCAGACTATACAGCAGAAAGTAATGGGTTCTGAACCCCTGTTAGTCAAAAATGATTTTGCTTCAAATTAGAAATTGATTTTTTTTGGACACAAGCCCTTTCCAGGCTTCCGGCTTCTGTAGCTTGGCCTGGGAGAGATTAACCTCCACCATTGCAAGGGCTGGCCTGATGATACCTTCCTCAAAGTGCCTTTTCAATTGCAGCTTTCTAATGTGGGCTGTGGTCTTAACCAATAACACAAGTTATTTGTCCCTCTGCTATTACACCGTATTTTTCTCATTTTGCCATTTTATTTTTGTGCTGACACACAACACAAATTTGTTGACAAGTAAGAGAAGACTATGTTATGCCTTACAATGTATCCCCCATACCAATTTTGGCTGGTTCTTCGCTCTCAAAATGCAATGACTAGGAATAATGGAACCAAGGAAGAGTTTCCTGTGACTAAAGGACTAACAGACAACCACAAAGATTCGGCCACACATAGTAAGTCTCCTCGAACTGTTTTGTTTCTGTACCAGAAACAAAGAGATATTTAACAAAGAAAAAAGTAAAAAGTAAAGGCCCTCCCGTTGATCATCGATTTGCTCGAGCAGGCCCAGTAACGTCTCCATTGGAGACTTTATTGTTACTGTGTTTGGCATATTGAATACGTCACGGGGAGCTTGCCAGGCTCTGCCGTGCGGGCGAGATACTCTCGGTAGCTTGCCGGGCTCTCCGAGAGGGGCGGAGGAATCGAACTCGGGTTGGCCATGTTGGCTGCGTGCAAGGCAAACACCCTACCGCTGTGCTATTGCTCCAGCCCAACAAAGAAAAAAATGAAGTAAAAATATAATGATTGTGTTTTACATTGTCCTGAAATAATGAAGGGCTGCAGAACTTTATGCTGAACAAAACAAATTTTTCATTTTGTTTCAAAATGTGGATAGTCTCCCTTATGAATTTTGGACAGATTATCCTCTCTCAATTAAATAATTTCCAAGAGAGAATTTCTAGATTAATAACGATTAATAGCAAAACCAAGGAGCTGGCAACTGATAAGGAAAGGCATGGAGATCATTCTTAGATACTTGCTAGATAATCTCATAAGGAACAACCAATTCTCAAATAAGTAAATATTTCAAGAGTGTCTAGAGAGATTATGATAAATAACACCCAAATTAGAGAGGTGGTAGCCCAATTCAAATAGAAGCAGTAACATGGAAATCAGGGCAAACAGTTATAAGCAGAAAAGTGCTTGGAAAGAGTGTGAACAGAAGGGCACTTAAGACTATTTTTTGGTCCTTTGTTTCCAGTACACATCTTCTGTCTAACTCAGCTCAGACATGTGCAGTAAGCTCCAATGTCCTTCCCCTTAATGATTCCAGGAGACATTAAGCCAAAAGTCACTTCAGAAACAATAGGGAAACACAATGAAATCCCACAGTGAAATGTGACTGTTTAACTTAACATTTTACAGTTATTTATAATTGATTTCTTTTAAAATACCAGTGGCATATAAAATATGAAGGATTACTGACACTTAAAAGACTGCTAGGCAACATGCTTCAGACTTATGACATTTTGTTTTAGTAAAAATGTACAATTAACCATGACTTTCCCATCCATCCCATACTTTCAATTAATTGAGAATTAATTGGAGTTGTTCGAGTTTTCTTTCCCATAGAGATTTATGTTCAATTTCTTGTCTTCTTTACTCAATCTGAATGTTATTTTTCTGTCTATGATCTTACTTACTGCTGAAAAATTCTTAGTTTGCGCCTTGCAAAAAGAAGGGCAAGTGGAACAGCTTCTCATAGTATTCTAAGAGAAAAGCTGATGTACTTCATTGATCTACTAGATGTGCCACCTATGGTCTGGTGAGCACATGTTCATTTGTAACACTTACTTTTAGCTAAGATTTGGGAGAAATCACCCAGAATTCATGATTGAAGTTACCAATAAAGAACTGCCCTCTACTAAATAGTAATTTTGCCTCTGCTAAATTTACCTCTTTGAGGATGATCTTTTTTTGGACATGTCCACGAGGCATCATCTTCTATTCGCGACTGAAACCCAACGGTCTTCTTTTCCTTTTTACTGTCTCCACTGTTTGTGGAGTCTTGGTACTTCCTGATAGATGGTGATGTTCTAAGAAGCCAGTCATCATTTTTGGGAGTCAGTAAGCTGAAAAGAATAGACATTAATGGGCTTAGAGAGCACAGAAGGAGATGCCAAAGACATACAAATTAAACGTGAATCAAATGTAATATATGACAAAAAATTAGCAAATAAAAATAAAACCTATGACTAACCCGTTTTTTCTTACTTTTCACTGGAGTATAATTTAAATAATTTTCTGAAGGTTTAATTTGTGTCCCATCACAACAATTTTGGAGAAGAAATTATTTTTTCCTCAAAAAGCTTTTATATGTAGTTGTGGAAATGAGGCTTAGACTTACAAAACCTTTAATAGTCATAGAGTATGACTAAGAACCAGCATATCTATAGAAATAAAAGGTAAGCTAAAATAAGACTTGCAGAACAAAAATGTTCCCAAGTACTAAAAATGAATGGTAGGAATTAAAGCATTACCTGTTTGCTTTAAAACGTGTTTCTCCTTTTCAACTGTTGTAGCACTTTTAGATGTATACAAAGCATGTGAAAGAATTAATCTATGTCCTCATATTATTTTTTTATAGTCAATAAAGCAAATATATAGTAAAAGACATTTTAATTAAAATAAACATCTATCTGATCATTGTATAATCAAACCCAAGCACAAAAAATTGTAAATCTACAACTGTACCTCATGGTGTTTCACTAATAAAAAAAAATTAAAGGTAAAGGTAAAGGCCCTCCCGTTGATCGTCGATTTGCTCGAGCGGGCCCAGTAATGTCTCCATTGGAGACTTTGTTGTTACTGTGTCTGGCATATCAAATACTCTCGGTAGCTTGCCGGGCTCTCCGAGGGGGCGGAGGAATCGAACTCGGTTTGGCCATGTTGGCCGCTTGTAAGGCAAACGCCCTACCCGTATCTCTTTATGGTTTCTGGGTCCTACCTGGCAGTACTCAGAGCTTACTCCTGCTGTGCAAGGGGGATCATTAGGGGTGCTAGGTCCCAGGTTGGCCTTGTGCAAGACAAGTGTCCTATCTGTTGCACTATTACTCTGAACCCTAGCAATTTTTCTTACATAACATTTTATTTAGATAAAGGTGTTATGCTACATATCCCAAAATATTCTACCACCTCTTGTGTTTCTGTTTAAATTCACCATTTGGTTATATGTTCCCCAAGTCCATCAACAATATGAAAATTAAAGTGAAGAATAAGTGGTTGTTCAAAAGTCTGATTCTAAAAAAAAAAATAAATCAATCAAGTTAGATGTCTCACACATCCCCAGGAGCAAAGATGGTCTCTGTCCAGGAATAGGTTGAAAGAGAATTACTAGATTCGTTAATAAATCTCAGGTGACCCTTACCATGGTTCAAATCACATAAATTAATGCCACTAAACTTCTAGTCTGTAGTGATGAGAATATTAAGTAATGTTTACTCACACCATAAATTATTAATAAAAATGAAGAATTAAATGACCATTCAGGGTGCTGTAAAGAAACAAAATTATTACTGGTATGGCTTTAGATCAGCATAATATAATGTATTAAGTTGATACTCTTGGAAAGAATGATTTCTCAGGACCCAAGAATCATTTTCCCATGTGTACTCACCAGTGAATATGTATTTTCACTTTTCTGTCATAATTTTTATCGATGGTACAGAAAAATAAGGAGAATAAAACTATTTCACTGTGAGTAAAAGATAAATTTACTTATTCTGAACCTTTTGAACCAAGGCAAATACAATAACTATATTTCTTCTTGTTATTGTTGAAAAGTTAATGTGATCGAAACTTTAGGCTTTCCCAAAATGTTCTCATTCTCCACTCAATTAAGCTCCTAACATAAGCTAATGTTCATTATTCCTAACACCAATTCTTTGAGATTCTTTATTCGATTTTACATAAAGGCTTTTCTGTAACTTTATTATAAACTCCACTATATTATAACCCCCACTCCTATAAGTACAAGTTTCTCATTTCCCTACAATAAAGATGATTAAATAAAAATTGCTTTGCATTTATTTCTATGCTTACCTATTCACTATTCCTTTAGTAACATCTCAAAGAAAACCACAATTTCTTATGTTACACTCAATATGATTCTAACTCATGTCATCTTTCACTATGGTTTATCTATCTCACATCTTTGTATGATTTACAAACTCAATCTCTCAACTACATTTTCCCCCTAGGTATACAAATGATGTAAGATATTCTATTAAATATCGAATCGAATACTCTCGGTAGCTTGCCGGGCTCTCCGAGAGGGGCGGAGGAATCGAACTCGGGTCGGCCATGTTGGCCGCTTGTAAGGCGAACACCCTACCCGCTGTGCTATCACAAAGTCACCAATGGAGACGTTACTGGGCCCGCTCGAGCAAATCGACGATCAACGGGAGGGCCTTTACCTTACCTTACCTTATTCTATTAAAAAATCAAACCCTAAAAATCTGAAAAAAAAAAAAATCAAACCCTAAACCTAAAGTCAAAACCTTTTCATGTACTTGAAAAACATAATATTCAGTGTCAGTGAAGGTATGGGGGCAATAGTATTTAAGATTTAAAATTAGGAGAACTTGAGTAGTAGCTGAATGTGAAAGAGGGAGGAAAAATAGAGTTAGTGGATTATTGGAAGAATTCTGTGTAGATAAGGGATCAATGGAGGGAAAAATAAATATAATTTGAGGTATCTGAAAAGTATCTGGAAAGATATTTCAAGAAATCAAAGGGTTTAATAGCTATGAAGCTTTTGTGCTAGGTGCTGACTGACCAGTCCTTGGGGGTGACAGAGAGAAAAGAGGAAATATGTTCTTGATGGAGGAGGAGGTAAATTTCTGTGAATTAAAGAAATAGATATTCAGGAGCAAGGTGAAGGTCTAGAAAAATTCACTGATGAAAGTACAATAATGAAACCCAGAAATAGGGACTGGGGAGATGGCTCAAAGTATTGGAACACAAGTGTTGCATGAGCAAACCCACACAGGAGTCTGAGATTCAACTGTGGGCATTCCATGGTATCCCTAACATACTAAGCCAAACTGAAGGAACAAAACCACCAAGACCAAGAAAAAAAAACTGTCCTGCAATGGTAAGGGCCTACTAGAATTGGAAATCATGCATTTTTATTAGGGTCAGGTATACATATGTAGAAGCAGATAAGGCAAGGCCAGCATTTTATTGGCAGAACAAAGCAGTTATGTCCCGGTCCGCCTTCCTCTCTCAACTCCCCCAACCTTCCAAAAGAACAAAGCAGAGGATAAAAGAAATATAGTATACTGATAGTAGAAGAGTTAAGGTCAACTACTTCATTAGAATGTAGGTGTACAAGAAAAGGGAGGAGGGTAGGAAGAGGCTTACAGATAAAATGAGAAGTGAAGGATTTAAATGACTCTTTAGGATAAAATAAGATCAAAATAAGGGCCAGAGCACAATAGTACAGCGGGTAGGGTGCTTGCCTTGTGGTAGGTAGTCCCAGGTTCAATTCCCAGCATCATATATGGTTGCCCCAACCTGACAGGCGTGATCCCTGAGTCAAGAATAAGTCCTGAGTACTGCCAGGTGTAGCTCCAAAACAAACAACAACAACAACAACAACAACAAAAATAGACAAAACAAGACACAACATTTCTTCAACAAATCCACACAGTGGAATGTGGATATGAACAAGCTGTAGGGGAAGGTGCTGGACAATAAAGATAGGATCAAAGATTTTGCTCATCACAGTAGGTGACAGAGAGCAAGTTCCATATCGGTGTGGGATAATGTTGCTGAAGAGAATTGGAGAGAACTGTGCAAGAGAAACACTCTAGCATGGTAATGTATAGATCAACTACCAGGATATTAGAATCCTGAAGAAACAAGGGCACATGGTGTTCTGAGGAAAAGCAGGTGACTTTGAGTGGAGATCAAATTCCCAGTGGGTTAATAATGGAAGACAAGAAAGGAAGGGATGGATTTCAGTATAGCTGATTATACTGAGAATCACATAAAGAAGTTATGCCAGAGAGTAGATAGAGGTTAGAATGAGGAAAAGAAAATTCTGGTACTGAATTTCTGTTCTTTCCTAGATATGATAGAAAGAATAAATCGTCTTTACAATAGTCCTGTCAGAAAACATGACAATTTTGGGAAGTGAATCTTTTTTTTTAGCAGAAAATCTAAACTTGTTTATTTTTGCCATTATGAACAGAAAATTACTTAAAAGCATCTGAAAAATTACATTTCATTACAACTTCTTTTTTTACAGACTTAAAAACTTTCATAATTACATTTCAGTCATACAATGTTTGAGTACCTATCCCTCCACCCTTGCCCATTGTCCATCATTGATGTTTCCAGTATCCCTCCTGCCACCCCAGCCCTTCCCTCCCCAACCACTGCCTCTGTGGCAGGCACATTCCCTCTTTTCTCTCTCTCCTTTTGGGTGTTATGGTTTGCAATACAAGTACTAAATGGCCCTCATGTTTGGTACATAGTCTACTTTCAGCACACAACTACCATCCTGAGCGAGCCCTCCAACCATCATTTACTTAGTTGTCCCTTAAGCTGGGAATTTTGGGGAGTGAATTTGACCTGTTCACATATCAAAATTAACTGGGAAGTTTAAAAAAGCAATGGATTTAGCCTCATTTGTAGAAGGTGAATTTCTTAGTCCTCAATTACTATGCCCCACCAGTACCAGTCTCTTTCTACCTTTTGATTTTTCAAAACTCAGAAGGTGATTCCTCTGAGAAAAGACAAGAGAAACACGTATATTTACATATATATATTCATGTCCACACCTTGGAAAAAAAAGAACTTATGTTACTATCTCCAATTCTAACATAGTTCCAACCAAATCAACATGGTTCATTTTAATTGTCTCCTGTTCTATATGTCTCTCCTGCCCAAAAGTGAAAAATAAAGTGACTATCATTTTTCTTAATATAAGTTTTTACTTAGTCCTCTTGTATGAAAATAATATTCCATAATCACTGTTATCATCTGTACTTTCACCATCATGATCAAATAACTACCACCATATGCTGCTCCAGGCTGTTTCTGCCAATATATATACCTGTCTGAA